TGGGCCTTTCATAGGCTAATGGACCGAAATTGGAGACAAGGCCCAATAAAGGAAACCCTAGCTGCTCCTTTGCTGGCCAAGATGTGAAGTGGAAGCGGCGCCTGGTAAACTCCGGCGGGAAGAGCAGCGGAAGCAGACGGTGGCCATGGAACGGAACTGAGGCTGGACTCCAAAGGTGAGAAATCTTTCTAAAATTGGAAAGAGTCGCCCATAAGAAAAACTCGCCGTGCGCCGTCGACGTCTCCACCGGACATGGCACATCTGACGGTCCAAGAGATATACCTCCTGCCATCAACGAAGTCCGGTGTGAGATTTCTTCTAGGGTAATTGGATTAGCTCTGGACCTGGGAGTGGAAGGTTGAACGAGCAAAAGGTAAACTGGGAGGGCAAACGCCGAACCCCAACTTCGACCTCTGTCGTTGGTTTCTTGGTTGTCGTTAAAGAGCAGTGGGGGAGAGAGGATTGGCGAGGGTTGAAGCAAAGCTTGCAAAGATACAAAAAGGACTAAAATGATTGACGAGGTAAGTAGAAAGCAGAACATGTTGATCGGAGGAGTCAGATCCCGACGCCGGCGATAAGCACCTCCACCGGCGTCGGAAGCTTTGGTCGAAGAGGGTTTCTCGATAACTGTGGCTGGGAGAGAAGAGTCTTGCATTACATCATTATCTATATAATAAAAATTGAACACCATTTGATACAAGCTAGAAGTTAAATGCTGATTTTGAATGTATAATACTTTTTTTTTGGGTCAAAACTTTTAACTAAGTGTTAACTATTTCTTTCACATTAATTTAAAGTAATTTCAAAATATTTATTTTATGTAAATTTTGATTGATTGATCACTATATGTAACTAAGGTCTTTTTATTTTTTCTTACAATCACAGTCAACCAGACTTGAAAATGACGATCAAACCCGATGGTCTCATACTCTCATTCTCATGTCACATTTTGGAAAAGGTTGAATTTTTAAAGTGTACTTTTGTGTGTGTGTTTGGTCTGCAAATTGCAATACACAAGTACACCACATTGATTAATGATTACACTAGTTCAAAGAATACTTAATTACAAGTTCTGGTCTGAGTTTTTCAAAGTGTATAGATGCTTCCTTTTCAATTTATCTGTTACCGAATTGAGCAGACAGGTGAAAACATGAGCATTAAATAGATAGGACATTCCATAGTCATCCCACAGACAAGTAAACGAAATAAAAAATGAGCAATGGAGGGACTAGGGAGGGGTCAACATTGGATGCATGCCGGTTTAAAATAAATACGTAAGTTGAAACGGAACGTGGACCTTGTCAGCCTGGAGAACACATTTAGTGACCCCATGCAGGACCATATCTCTTATTTCTGTTTCTTATGATAATGTTGATCTCTTATTATTATTATTTTTTTTTCTGCGTTCAAGAATATTGAAGGTTTTACTTCCTGGGTTAGATCATTATTTTTATTAAATAACTATATATACATATATATGTGGCCTTCTCCTATATATTCAGCTCACTACCCTGTTTCACCATTCAGAGCCGATCGATAATAATCTCAGGATAGGCTTGCGGATGGAAACACAAGGCAAAGTAATCACTTGCAAAGGTAACTTTTGTATATCAAAATCTTTGTGTGTATGTGTATAGCTAGGTTAGATATAAATTATGAGTGTGAATGAATGAACAGCTGCTGTGGCATGGGGAGCTGGAGAAGCTCTAGTGATGGAAGATGTAAAAGTGGATCCTCCTCAGAGACTCGAAGTGAGAATTCGAATCCTCTTCACTTCCATCTGTCACACCGATCTTAGCGCATGGAAAGGCGAGGTACGCTTGCTTCATATATATATATTTCGTCTTCTTTTTGAGTAGCCCCTTCAATTACTTCTTCTTCTCATCTCAATCTTTTGGTCAGAACGAAGCTCAACAAGCATACCCTCGAATCCTTGGCCACGAGGCGGCAGGGTAAGTCGCATAAATCTGATGGATCCTCTGTTTTTTTTTGTCTTACCCCAGTGGATTAAGAAATGGACATCATCAATTACAGGATAGTGGAGAGCGTAGGGGAAGGAGTGGAAGAGATGAAGGCAGGTGATCATGTGCTCCCTGTTTTCACAGGAGAGTGTGGAGAGTGCAGAGTCTGCAAGCGAGACGGAGCCAATCTGTGTGAGAGATTCCGAGTGGATCCGATGAAGAAGGTGATGGTAAGCGATGGAAAGACCAGATTCTTCACCAGCAAAGACAACAAACCCATCTTCCATTTCCTCAACACATCCACCTTCTCTGAGTACACGGTCATAGACTCTGCTTGCGTGCTCAAGGTGGACCCTCTGTTTCCTCTGGAGAAGATAAGCCTCCTCAGCTGCGGTGTCTCCACTGGTAAAAAATTACATTTGGCTGCATCCATCTCTGAATATATGTATATGACATTTGGCTGCTTATTTAATGAAAGAGATAAGTGTTTTATGGAATGAAGGAGTGGGTGCTGCGTGGAACGTGGCTGATATCCAACCTGGCTCCACCGTCGCCATTTTTGGACTGGGCGCTGTTGGACTCGCCGTAAGCTTTCCTCTTTTTTTTTTTTTTTTTGTTGTTGTTGTTGTATGTATCATCATGGAACTAGGCTCAATCCATACTGACTAGGCTCTTAATGCCGTGTTACTTGGGGGAGAAGGTGGCTGAAGGTGCGAGAGCGAGGGGAGCCTCTAAAATCATTGGGATCGACGTCAACCCTGAAAAATTCCAACTAGGTATTAAAATAATAGCATATGAGCATGCATGTCAATCTAAAGGTTAAAAGAGAATTGTTCCTAAACGAAGTGTGCTAGCTCTGGATAAACAACAGGCAGAGAAGCAGGGATCCGGGACTTCATAAATCCAAAGGAGAGTGATCAGAAGGCAGTTCATGAGAGAGTAAGGGAGATAACAGAGGGAGGAGTGGAGTACAGCTTCGAGTGTGCGGGAAGCATAGAAGCACTTCGAGAGGCCTTTCTGTCTACAAACTCAGGACTGGGAGTGACAGTGTTGCTGGGCGTTCACTCAAGCCCACAGCTTCTTCCTATCCATCCCATGGAGCTCTTCCAAGGCCGATCCATCACCGCCTCTGTTTTCGGAGGTTTTAAACCCAAAACCCAATTACCCATCTTCATCACCCAGTGCCTCCAAGGTCTTGTCAATCTCGACCTCTTCATCTCCCACCAGCTTCCCTTCCACGATATCAACAAAGCCATGCAGCTGCTTAACCAAGGCAAGGCTCTTCGTTGCCTTCTCCGCCTCTGAACTGAATTGAATTGAACATCTATCTATCATCATTCCATCCTTTTTTTTTTTCTCTCATTTTCCAAGTCATTGTGAAATTTCTATTGCTTTCAATTCATATAATACTGTTATTACCTAAATATAAAATAAAATAAAATAAATAATATATGGGTAAACTGGTCTGGTAGCAGTGGGAAAAAGAAAAACAAAAGATTACTAGAACCTGCTGATGTACACATAAAAGATTGAAATCACAAGATTACTAACATTAGTCCCAAATCTATAAGACAAAAAGAACAATAATTTGAAAGTGTTTAGGAAAAAAGGACAACCGAAGAAGCCACAACATATGGTTAAATCTGTTATTTTCCTCAATATGACCTCATCTTCTTATTATTGGATATCAATATATTCGTGAAAAGTCTACATTACAATACTATTAACGTTTGATTGTTTGTTTCTTGCTGACCATCTTCTGAGCCGGGACCCATCTAAATTGATTCTTTCGCACCCAATTTCGTTTTTATTTTATTTTATTTTTATAAACTTTAATAAATTTCCACTAATGAAAACGATAATACAAGACTTTGAAAAGTCCAGGACTCACAGGCCCAACAAAAATAGACCATACACCAAAAAAAAGAAGAGGCTGTCCAAATTTCAACAACATATTCAGAGAGAACCAACAGTTTTTAACATATTTACAAAGTGAAGCTCACTATTGAAACGACGAGAACCGCTGCTCCTGAGAGAGAATCCATTATCGCCAGATAAGGTAGACGGTGGCTTGATAGATGAGCTTGAGGATGAGAAAAAACATTCTTGTTTCTCGATGCTGACTGTAGTAACTAGTAACCAAATGAGGCAATTCATAAATCCAATTCGGTGTTTGTTACAATCGATCACTTGCGCAAGTCTCTTTATTTAGTCAGCCAGCCATTCTCAAACACATAGAATGTATCGAACGTAAATAAATATAATAGAGATGAACATGAAAGTACGGATGAGATGCGAAACCTTCCCACCTTTTCCTTAAAAGAAAATGATGAGAGACGTTTACAAGCAATGCAAAGACAATCAAACGTGAAAAGTCCTCTTCCACAGGGCACAGGCTATCATCAGTCCTGTTTCTAAAAGTAATCAATTTAACACCACTAAAATTCTACCAAAAACCTTATAGACAAGAAAAGATTGATATGTTTCTCGTTAATTAATGCAGCGTGGAATTATCCTACCGCGCTCTCAGAAATTCAACACTGAAAGAATAACTCTCGCTTCTTTTTCCCTTTGCTATTACAAGATTGATACATCAACCAAGACCAAGACTAAAAAGAGACACCCTTTCTCTTTTCAAATCGCCAAAAGAGAGACCCTTTTTACCTTTCTCATTCCCTCTCTTCCTACTTACATGTACACTCACCTACATCCTTTTTCCTATTCTTGCAAATCTTCTGGCTACTCCGAATATCACCGCCTTTGTCAACAGCCCTTTGTCCAGTGTACATGCAAGCGCAATCGCCCCTCCCACTACCAGTATCTTTGGTATGTTTTTCCCCGTCGGCTTCTCTCCTGTAACCTCTGCTATTGAATCCCTCTCATTCATGAACTCCTCCGCACTCACTTTGGTGTTGATTTGGGCCATTGATGCGCTTGGTGATAAACCTGCTCCTGCTGTTTTGTCCCTCTGATATGCGCGTAAGCCTGGTTCGATTTTCTTCACCGCACCCCACATACCCTGTCTCACCCCGAGCTTAGCAATCTCCCACGGTATTCCCATATCTTCATGGTGAAATAGTAGTACCTCACACGCTGTGGTCTCACCATCGCCTCTTTTTGATTCGACTACACCATGATAATAGATCAATTTCAGAAACGAACAACACTCAGAAAATCAGAGACAACTTGCTTGAGTGCATCACAATGGTGGTACCTGCACGGATGCACCAGCTTGAATAGTATAAATCAACTCGCCTTGGCTTGTTTTGTCTTGGTACAGACGGGTATGGTACTCCCTGATGCAAATACAAGAGAGTATACTAACTATAGACACATGTAAAAAGCAAACAATATCCAAAAGATGAACACATGTCTTGCACGGATCTAATAGCTCCACTAGAGTAAGTATGATATTGGCTTGGCTACACTAGCAGCGAAAGAATGGAATACCTTGGTAATGCAGTAATAAACTCGGCCAGCATCCCATATTCGACGGCCTATGATATACTCCCTGTCGCTACAAAAGAAGGGAAACTGAAAGAGCAGCAGCGGAAGATGTGAGTAAAGAGATGGGAGAAGAAGCAAAATGAAGGTAGCTGAAGTAAGAAACAAGTGCCGACCTTGCGGACCCATTGGACAACCATAGTGCCCGTGTCCTTGCAACGCTCGAGGGTAGAGGAATACAAAAGCATATCATCCCACTTGGAACGGAACTCATCATCCCAAAAGAAGTCCCTGACCATCTCAGGAGTGGCATCCTCAAACACGGTTCTGCTGCGGTACTGGGGAGGCCCATTCTGGAATCATATCATACCAAAAGATTAAACATTTGAAGGGATGCTAAAGCAAGACATTCGAAAGTGGAAAGGAGGGTTTACCTCAGGATCTCGCCTCCAAGCTTGGTATGAGAAGGTTGGGGTTGATCGGTCCATCATTGGAATCCAAGAAGGACCGCCATCTTTGACCTCAACCAACTTCCATAGATGCCTAAAATCATCGTCCGTAACAAACCCAGATTTCTCTTTCTCAGCCGCCTGGGGAGAAGAAAGGCTACACCACAAACAAAAGAAGAAGCAGAGTTTATTTATTGGATTATGACAGAGAGAGAGTGGAAGTGGGTGACATCAAATCAAATGAAATCACCTGGGAGAAGAGGTTTTGAGGATGGAAGAGGGAAGCTTGAAGGAGGTGAAGTTGAAGAATTTAGGAGAATCGGAAAAGAGTTTAGAATCATGAGCGGAGAGATAAGCCCACTTGGGCCTCCAAACCCAACCAACCAAAACCCCGGCGGCCACAGCAATCCAGAGGGGGGCAGCAAAAACTAAAAGGTCAGAGAAGCCGAGGGCGGGGAAAAACAAGGAACTCAATCCCATCTTGTTTTGACCCAGATAGAGAGATAGAAACCCTCCTCGACGGAATCGGATGATTGATTAGGCGTCTAAAGCACAGCGATTGGACGAGGAAGGACTGGGTCTTGGGAGGAGAAGAAGAGATTGAAGAAGCTCAAGGAGAATAAAAGAGAGACAAGAGAAGAGGATAAGGATATTGGATTTGGGATTACTGTAGGCCCAGTTTCGCCGTTCGATGCAATCTTCTTCTCTCATCAGTCATCACCACCCTCCTCTCTCTCGTTACACACACACTTCTCTCTCATTTTTCTATATATAATATATAAGTGGATAAAACAGACCAAAGTGTTCTTCTTCTTCTTCCTTTTGGTTGGTCCGTCCACGCGTTCTTCTCCACGTGTTTTCTCATTTCGATTCTGTGGTCGCCGCATCCTCCCTTTTTTTTTTTTTTTTCCTATTACATCTGCTACTACAATTTTGTAAAGATAAAAATCCATAACTTTTTTTTTACTCCGTCAATATAACTTATCGTCTCTGTCTTAAGTGGGGGACTAAAAAAACAACCAGAATAATAACTAGAGTTTATGTTGAGCTTGAACTACTTTTTGTTACAGCATTAATTTATATAAACAACACGAATTTAGATGCTCAAATTAAAACAAGGACTCTTATGCAACAAAATTAAAGATAATAATCAAGTGTCTATGGTCAAAAATAAATTATAGACTCCCGTGCTATTCCGGCCAAACACACAAAATATGGTTGACAATTCAAAATGACAACCAATAAACGTTTTAATTATTATAAAAACACAAAAACCACCCAAATTGAGAAGACAACTAGGAGAACAAGTAACAAAAACCACCCATGTACTTTAGTTATCGATGAGGTTGAAAAGAGTAACAAATATAATAACAAATAACGGCACATGTTTTTCGTTGTTAACTTGTCAATGTCATACTTGTACCACCATGCACCTAATTAACACTCAAATGAATCGATTAAAAGGTCTATTATTTACACAGTGTCTGGACGGTTATTGAAGGACCAGATGATGTGGACGGGGGATACTGTTGTTACTGCTGCGGATTTCATTGGTAATATATATTATTGTCGTATTGCTTGTTGGCTTTTATTCTCATACGGTCTCCCGCCTTTCCACACTTTCATTCACCTATTTTTATGACACCAAAACATATTAATTTAACCTTATTTTGCGTGTTTACAATACTAACTCAACTCGAACCATGTTCTTACTTATTCAGTCAATTCATAGGCTCAAATATAAAACAGATTAAAAGCAAGTATGAAGTTTTTTCGGATTATGACAGCTTTCGGCCTGGAAAGATTGTCAAGAATTGTAACATGGAGCAAGAGATCGCAGCCTCCTTGACATTGTGTAATGTAAGCTTCTTCCTTTTCATTGCGCTCAATCTCTATACTCAAGTTGTCCTAATAAGATTCTCTTTGTTTGTCCCTTCGCTAATATTTCCTTCCTTTCCATTGCTGACATTAAGTGAACTTTGCATGAAATTTGGCCATATATGGAAAGTGCACTTTTTATGCTATTGCGTACTTTTCAAATAAACTGCACCTTTTCCATATATCATACATGTAAAGTGCCTATTTGTGTAAAAGTGTTACAAGAAGCAAAAAAGAACTACAATAATAAGGCTTAAACAAAGTAGGAATGCAGCTTCAGGCAGCAAACAGGCTAAGGGATTGAGAGATGATGACTACGAAAGCCAAACATAGCTCAGGACCACGAGCATCAAAGAGAAATGAAACAGCATGAGTCCATACCAATCATTAACTATTAACTTGATAGGCTTCCAACCCACTAATATGATGTAAATGATGTTTAACAAGCTTATCTAAGAGGAATAACAAAACCGATTGATCAGAAGTCCCAAAATACAGAGATTACAAAGATAAAAATGAGGAACAAATGAAATATAAGATAAGGATCTACGACATTTTCTCAGATCCTTCTCTCACCATGCAACCTCAAAGCGGCTAATTCCTTGATTATCAACATGCCTCTCTATTCTTCATAAACTCTTATTTATAGCCTAAACTACCTTCTAGGTTCTTCTTAGCCTCCTAAGCAACTTGCATCCTCTCTCACGTGTGAAGTTTGTTGCACATGATCCCAAATAGATTCAGCCCTCCTCACACGTTGTGACTTTCTCTTTTACAATGCATCTTATCATAATTATTTACCATTAACAATTAACTATCAGTGGCCTTGAAGAGAGCCGTGGGAAGAGACACATCCAAGTCAAAGCAGTGGCCACTAAGGAGACGAGGAGAACTTACCCAATCAGACAAAACTCCTCCCACGTTGGTTATGGCGAATAATCCTTTACCTTACCACACTAGCACCACTCAAGTAAGCCCAAACAGAGAAACGAAAGCTTAGAACAACTAGCCTTGTCCACGGAGTGAGCAAAATCTGCTGCAGAACAAGCCGTGACCGGAAAGAGAAGAGTTAGTGCCACTGCACCTACAAGCAAGGAGATAGATGCAGCAAACAAAACCTAGAAGGAACAAGGGAGGTATGATATAAAGGAAGAGTGGAGGATATGCATTCACCTGAAGGGAGCAAAACTGGCGAGTGAATAAACCAAAGCCTGATTACGCAGACACAAAAACGCAAATACTAGACCCGCTTCTGACAACCACTCTCTAGATTGAACCGAGGTCAACGAAACGGAGAAGCCACAAACTACACCCACAGAAAAGGAGAGAGCCGATAGCATATGGAAGAGCTAGAAGATTCCATTATCTTCGACTTTCCACGTGTCATCCAACCTGTTTTTCTATTGCAACGTATTCCCTGTGCTATTTTACAACGTTTTCTCTTCAGTGAAAGGTTTCGTTAACTGGGACTCTTCGGTAAAATGAGAAATTAGTTATTTCTCAAATATGTCGTGTACTATTCAGTAAACTTGGAGTCTTTTGCTCCTTTAGTATTGATTTGTTTATGTTCGGTGTACAAAAAGAAGTCGATGCGGTGTTAAAAGAAAAGACGGTGGTAAAAGCACAAGATCCAATAATGGTGGACACTTGCAATTTGCAAAGATTTAAGTTAGTTAAAACTTAAAAGTCGAATTATGAGTTAATAAAATTCTTATCTGAAGTTAAATCTTATATGGGCTAAATAATATTTTTATTTATTATTGTTAACTTTATAATAGTATTATTTATTATAACTATTATCTTTCATAATTATATATTCCCATTATAATTTTTTCCCCAAACTAATCATAGTGACTATGCATAAATATGTATCTTATCATAATTATGCATAAATGTGAGAACTAATATAACATGAAACCTATGCATATAAGTATATAACCCATACATAGGAATCTATGATGATAATATACTGGTTAATATGTCAATGATATAGTCAATTATCCTCATAAATATTAGATTATATATAATTCGTTCTTTCTTTATATGAAGTAATAAATAAGGTTTATCACATAATTTATAACTTATCTTGATATAATATTATTAATCAAATAGATATTCACACAAATCATTGTTTATTTTTTTTTGGTGTTAAATTTGAACAGTATTGTCGGAGTTGAAATAAACAGTTTTTGACATATAATATTGGATAATATACATCGTAAATGTATATTTTTGTTAACAGAAAATGTAGTTATATATAACAATCTATTTTTATGTGATATATACTCATAATAGAGAACTGATTATAAAAAACTATTGTCATATATATTGTTAATTTTTCAACATTTATTCCTCTAATATAAAAGCCAAACAAAAATTGCTTTTAGGGGGAGGTTTTCGCTGAAAGAATTCGACATAATATAATATAATTAAATTAAAGACTTAATTATAGATTTTTACGTACTGCAAAAGATTTGCAAATCTTCTTTACAAATGCTAACAATTTATTTTGTAATATATGAATATTGTGCAATATATTTTTATACTAGAACTAAAAATATATTGAGTGCAATATTTGATATCTTTTTAATTGGAATTTTCTATATTTTAAAGTCGCTAATTGTTGATAAAAGGCTGTTGATTAAGTTAAACTATAAAGTAAAAGATAATAAATTGTTGGGAGTCTGGACTTTTCTATGTTTTCTATCCAAATCTCAACTCAAAACCTTTGAATTTTGTTCATCATATTTTACATAAGTTTTTCTTTTAAATTCCAGGCAAATCACGATGTCATACAAAAAACTATGTAAAACTGAATAACACTTCCATTTAAAAGATTCAAGAAAGGAAAAATTTAAATAACACTAGAATTTAAAGTATTTTGAAAGAATGAAAATACTTAATCGAATAACACAAGAGTTAAGGAATTTGTAAATAACACTAGAATTTAAGATTCTATTTCTATCAAATTCATTGGTCCACTAGTGTTTTTGCGTACAAGTAAATATTATGTAGTACTTTATTTTACTTTGCAAAAGTAAAATAAAAATAATACATAAATGTAATTTGATCCGTACATTTGAGGAACGGATCAAATTGCAAAATTTTACGGATGAGAATTCTAATTTTTTTGTTGGTTCGATTACTTGTTATGTGGTAAGCTTTTCTTTAGTCACACAATGTTCATATCAAATCGTTTGTGTAGGCCATGTGGTTAGGTTTTGTGCACTAGACGCGGCTTAAAATGACATTGTTATTTTTTTTTCAAAGACCGACACATACAATTACACGCTATGACCAAATTGCCGATGAACGTATCATAAAAATTATTGATAAATAGCTTGCAAAAGGGTAGAAACATATAAATGTGATGTTAATCATCGAGGACTGCGACTTTTGTGAGACCATAAAAAAAATTGAAGGATGTAGGTCATAATATGCTGCTTGCTTTCATCAAGGGAAAATAACCAAATGCATCAGCAGTGATCAAGCAGCTAACAAATTTATTTTGGGAATGGAGAGATTTTATTTCTTTTATTCCAGATGACCTTAGTGCTCATGAGAGGAAAGCGAAAAGATGGCAGAGTTCCGGAAGAAATCTAAAGCAGTAGTGTTGCAATTTGGGGATCTTCCTCAATGTTTGCTTTCTTTTATTCTCTCTTGTACACTCTCTCTTTTACTTTGTCTACGTTTAGCTTTTAATGTCTACATTTTTAATAACTTGGATAAACTCCTACAATATCATACAAGCATACTTGTGCGCATACCTTAGGATATACTTCTAGACTCTAAGTGCACTTACACAAGCCACACTACTTGTGTAGGAACATAAACTCTTTAATTTAAGCTTATAACAACAACTCTAACTGGTG